TTTAAACATCTTCTTAAAAACCCAAAGAGCTAGAGCGTAGCTATTTGGCATGAAACATCTTCTAGTGAGTGTCTACCAAGTTTGTACAATAGCACTTTTATATTAATGTTTTAAAACTAGGCTACATGGATCCAATAGTGATTTAGTATAATATTTTTGGACTCTTAAAAAAATAAGGCTTAATTGATAAGATTGAATCCAAAGATTATTTATATTGGACAATCACATGTTTCAAACGCTTGAAGATCATTGGTTATGAGGATGGAAACAAAGGTATATGCTTGTAGATACGTAGTCATTTCATTAGCTTTTGCAAATGTGAAAGAAAAAAAAAGAAAACGAAATACCTTAATTTTAATGTAAGGTGCACTGTATTTCTGTAAATATTTCAAGAAAACACCTTTAACGAAGATGATTACCAGAGTTTTAACAAAATTAACACCACGAGGACAAATACAGTAAATCTTTACAAATACAATGTTGATTTATCATGTCACATTTTTATTAGATCGTTTAAGCAATCCTGTAAGATTGATATCCTTCTGGTTTACATGTTATAACACATGATTTTCCGACTGTAATATAGAGGCGTTTGTAATCCGGAGATGAAATATGTTGTTGTTCATTTTCTCTATTTGTTATACTGCGTCTGTATATTCATCATCTAATAGCCACCTAGAAAATAAAATGAAAAGTCATAACAAAACAAACAAAAAATACCAAATCTATGGAGGACCGCCACATGTTTACATACTAATCATACATGTACTTTATTAGACCTTTCATCCACGTCAGAACAAAGAAGCTGATGTTGATTTAACGAATCTTAATATTATTGGTTATTCCTATAAATCAGCCAGCAGAAGTAACGTTATATGTTATGTTCAGATTACGATGGTGTTGTAGCCGAATGTCGTTAAAGGCGTACATTCGTATATGAACGAAAAATCAACTATTTATCATATTTTCTTAAAGACATGCTCTTTATTTTGTCTTTGATCAATTTAAAAACTGAAAAGACTTTCAAACAATCACAAAGAAATATATTTCAATTGTATGCGCATCACCCAAGACTACTTACGTATATTTTCACAGCATACGCCACGAGCTTTCACATTGTGTCCAGGTTTAGTGCACCTATAACGTTTTGACCGGTCTTTGCTTTTGCAGTCGGAGCGTTTCATGCATGACCTCTTTGGTTCAGGCACACCAATACCACACCCAAGACAGCATGTGCCGTATCTTCTGTTTGGATGTTCTTGGTGGCAATGTGACGTATCAGGGGGACAGACCTCGGTGTCCGAGCAGTGCGCTATTGCTTTATTTGCATTATAGGACGGCGAAATACAGCCTACAACAAGAAGCATACATCAATTATAATTATGACGATGCGATATAACCGAGAACAAGATAAATAGAGATTGGCCTCGTTAAAATTCATAAAAGAACGCATAGGACGGTGGATATAAAGTACGTTGTAACCGATATCTCGCTAAAACCGATCTCGTTATAAACTGTATCAAATGAAAAGATAATAGAAAGAAAAAAAGAAAAAGGCCGGGGCAAAGACGAATGAAGTGGTACCTTGTTGGAGTAGACTGTTCAGGGATTTTTGTACGGCAAGTTACAGTAAAGGATAAAAAGGGCAATAATAAAAATACACAAAAATGGTTGACGTTGCAGATTCGATGTAACTGAGCGATATTGTTAAGTGTTACGTCCCTCGACCCCCCCCCCCCCCCCAGCACCGGCTTATAGAGACAGATACAGTGTTAATATGCCCCAAACTGTGCAAGATATCCTCACCGAACTAATTTACCGAACTGATACAAAATCCTTATTTTTTAATGATATTGTGTTTTTTTTTTTCAAAAGACACGCGTTGGACTTTTATAGTTTTACATGGATAGGACATTCATTTGTGATAAATACATTTTAATATTTTTTCATAAGGAACGGATTATTTAAATGCATACCTAGCAGATAATTCATTATGGGGCTAGATTGAAAAAATATATCAATTGTCGTCTGGTGTCTTCTCATAAATATGCTATATATAAAGTAATGATAAAAACATTTTATGTACTCACCTAAAAAGAGATCAAAGTGACCTGAAACAAAAAGCAAAAAACTTGATGTACTGTATTTCTATTACAATACCAAAATCTGACTACTTAAAGAAAAAGAAATACATTTTTAAAACTTATTTTAAAAAATCAATATTACAAATATTAAAAAATGTTAAAGTTAATTCTGTTATGTGGCCACAGGTGGCAGTATCATAGTTTGGACACCCATTCCACCCCGCCCTTCCCCTGTATCCCTGCTACAACCCTGAAAAAATAATTAATTACTCTAAGGCTTACTATAAGATACCAAATACAAAACCACCGATAAAGGTATATAAAAAAATCCTCTATATATATAGACTAAAACTATAATTTTGATACTTGTTTTTGGTATCTTATAGTAAGCCTTAGAGTAATTTTTTTCAGGGTTGTATCAGGGGTCTAGGGACAGAGTGGGGTGTGATTGGTGTCCAAACTATGACACTGCCACCTGTGTATGTGGTTAGTAAGAAATAATAATTTATTTTTAAAAACAAAACAAAGATACCTAATTCTATAAAAATGTTGACTTAAACTTTTTTTTTTCTTCAGATATACAATGTATTGGCTTTATGTAAGATATACTTTCCCTAGCTTAATGATAGCTCGTTAAATGTATGTATAAATTGTTATTAAATTCATATTTACATGCATCGTGTATTGAGTGAATAATGAACTCTGTTATAATAATAATTCTGTTCAATTTTGATGGCAATTTTATGAATCATAAAGGAACAACAGTGAATGAAGTGAATGACAGTAACCATGTTACACACGAAGATGTTGCCGTTGAAGAAATCTCTTACGTTGTATTATTAAAAATACCCGAGTTTTTCCTTTTTCGAGAAAAACAAGAATATAAGTCAACGTAATTTCGACAAAATAAGCGATATATAGTTTTTTTAGAAAACAAGAATATAAGTATAGGTTATTACGACAAAATACTCGAGATATTTCTTTTTAGAAAACAAGATTGTAAGAAAATGTTATTACTAAAACAATAGTCCTTTAGAAATGGTTCAACTTGTAGACCTATACTATTATTTAATTTGTAAATTATATATTAAGATTCAATTCCTCTGTTCCACAGAATGTAAAGGTCTAGAATAATGTCAATTGTCACAACTATTTTAACATAAAAAAACAAAAACAAAAAACAAAAAACAACATAAATTGATTTTTATTACAAAAATGTAAAAGATTTCAATATGTCGGGAAATGATGCTGATTCTCTTAAAATGATTAGTATATACTAGAACTATGTCATAATAATATGTTATACAGTCTCACGGTTTATCGTGCGACAAGATAAAATAATTATAATGTGTTTACTTGAAATACTTTAAGATGACTTATAGGCCCGTTGGTTGGGTGTGATAAGTTTTTCACTTTTAATGTAATGTTCCGGTATGTTCACACAAAATACAGCAATTTCTTATTTTATCTTTAAATACGTTTCCAGCATAATTATATTATATATATAATTATATACCTTTGCTCTCCCTTTATTCTTGCAAATAAATGTTTTGTTAATTATTTTTTATATATAAATGCATTATATGCATTATACGTATGAAATAAAGCGTTCAAATCAACTAATACAGACGTCACAGAAACAACGCTCTTTAGGATGTTAAAGTTTTCCTCTTTGCATATCAATAAATGAATTGCTAAATAAAACAAACCTCTGTAACAACAACAACAACTAAACAGTATAAACGTTATTTTCAGTAGCATTCACTGTGTTCATATAGAAAATGATAGAATAATGAAGGAGATATGACGAGAACGAACGAATGATCGAACGAGTTTCTACTTACCATCTTAAAACTTAGTAAAAAAAATAATATTTTCATTACATATGTATATTTTATTATTAATTTACAAATAAATTAATGCTTAATGTATGTGGATCTATTTCTTAAAACATTTATTTTCTTTCTATAATGTCAAATAGATAAATAAATTAAATAAATCTTACCTGATAAAATAAACAGAACAAAAGTTGCCTGTTTGTTGTCTTTCCACATGTTGAATAATACAAGTTATCTATATCACCTGGCATTACCACAGTTATTGCAATTGTTGCACTCTTACCAAAGACGATGATTATACACCAGATACTCGTGCATCTGTCATTTTCGGATTCATTTGTGATTTGCCTATATATGGACAGTTATTCTGCACTACTTTGCACGTTGTTTTTTAAACGTTGAAATAATACTATTTATCAGCGTTCACAATAATTATTATTATGTATAACAAACATGTACGTTATTTTTACAATGTAATATACTTTCAGAATTATAAAACTTTGATGAATCGATTAAACAGAACCTGTGCTTGTTTGTTTTACCGTCCGTCCGTCCGTCCGTCCTTATCTACACCATTAATATTCAAAGTCTTCCGCATCGTAGGTTACCCACTGCCGAACCATTACATGTTTACATATTAATCGCCCGTGGGTTTCCGATGATAGGTCTTTCGGACGAAACCTGAACAGTACCGAGGTATCAATGTTCAACATTGGACATGTGAAAAAGACAGGTTTTACAGTAAACCGAACTGTACAATAAAGTATATACATGTACAATTACGTTTATAAATACAGAATGAACACATTGATGTAAGTAATATACCCTGTCTTTTAGAATAAATATGGTAAAGTATATTCGTTAATAAGTTAATTAACTAGCAATGAGCAATTAAACTTATACAGGTTTATGACATATTGTTTTCTATAATGCTAATATACACCTTTTTAACTTACAATTATGAATAGGAAAATGATTAGGCTTCGTATTTATGACAATTTATAGCTCTTTTTTCTCTTTAAGATTTTAGAGATTTAAAAGTCGTCGATAAATCAGTCTCTAACATGACGAAATACAATTAAAACGTCACATTACAGCTTGATTTACCAGCTCATATTAAATGTATTTTTAATATAATTATCATCATTATTGTTAAGTAGATATTATGCAAAGGAAACCATAATCTTGATCTAGATAAATGCTATCATCCTGTGTATCATTAAAATAAATGAGCCCGTGTCACGACAAAACCAACATAGTGGCTTTGCGACCAGCATGGATCCAGACCAGCCTGCGCATCCGCGCAGTCTGATCAGAATCCATGCTGTTCGCTCTCAGATTCTCTACTTGTAATAGGGTTTGTAAGCGAACAGCATGGATCCTGATCAGACTGCGCGGATGTGCAGGCTGGTCTGGATCCATGCTGGTCGCAAACGCATTATGTTGGTTTTGTCATGACGCGGCTCAAATGATATATTGCCGAGCAAGGCATTCTTTCCAACAAACAAGTTGGATTTCCTTTCTTTAATGGATCGCGTAGGGACCTCCGTGGCCGAGTGGTTAAGGTCGTTGACTTGAGATCACAGGTCCCTCGCCGCTGTAGGTTCGATCCTCACTCGGGTCGAAATCTTTCATGTGAGGAAGCCATCCAGCTGGCTTACGGAAGGTCGAAGGTTCTACCCAGGTGCCCGCTCGTGCCTGAAATAATGCCCGGAGGGGCACCTGGGGACTTCCTGCACCAATAAAGACGAAAAATCTCGGCGGGACGCTCTAGGATGGCCCGACTTGAGTGTACGGTCGCCAATATGGGCTTTCCGGCGGCGACCTTAAATAAACGCATTAAAAAAAATAATGGATCGCTCACACCTAGTTTTAGTGCTCTTTATGCGGATGAAAAAAGCGGACTGTCAGGCAATAGTCCGGCTGAAAATCCAGTCTACCGGATAGCAATGGAAACAAAGTTGACAAAAGTAAGACCAGATACGCACACTTTCTCAATAAAATTATTAAAATGCATGCCAAAGCATGCCTGACTTACGCGGAACACAAGTATCCTGAAACGGTGTCGGATCGGCTCGGTCTTAAGCTTTTTTGTTGACAAAAATATCTCTGCCCGAAAAACGGTCCTTGAAGAATGCTCCAAGAAAAAAAACGGTGCGAAAATTCGCTGCTATGTCTGATGTTCGTAAACGTTTTCCGGTAAAGTGTGACATAGTCAATAAGTCATATTTGTATTGTCATTGGCAAAAACCTTTCTATCTTCTATACAATATTCTGGCTGAATAGATGCTGGATCACGTGACGGGAATCATTCATATACATTCGATGGTACATTCTATCTCAGACACACTTTGAATATATATTATATATAGCTGTACATAACCCCATTTATATTGTCGAAACCTCGACCATTTTTAGAATTTGTGACAAATAGACACTTTTGTATCCTTGTTGAAATTCATATGAAAACATATCTTCAGTCACTTTGAAACACGTACAAACAAATAGTGTAGATGTGGCAATAGTCACTTTGAAAGACGAGTGTCCTCCCGTTTTATATATCTTTATTTTAGTCCCTCACTCATTTGTTGATTATATTTGCTTTTGTAGAGGTTATTGGTGGTATTGTCTGGCAATAATGACATGACTAATAAATGTTCGGGAAAGTTTGTCGTCATTTTCCGTGAATTAGTACGATACAAAATGTTTTTATGATATTAAGGTTTCGATGCGGTCCCTTTTTTACAAGAATTGCGGGTAAAGCATACTTGTTTCTGATTAAAAAAATATCCCCACTTTCTAATGAAACGTGAGTGGAAGAAGAGGTAATAACTTTACTTTTAGAGAGATAACATCTTTACTTCATTTGAGTTTTTTATTTTCTTTGTCACGAAATCTTTAAAGTATGTTAAATTTTTACATATAGTTTTGATATATTTTAAAAAATGTGAAAAGAACTTTTTAGAGCAAGATTCAAATTAATTCTAAATATTCAACGTACTAAGGTGCTTCTATTATAAAACATGAACTTAATTGCCGAAGAAAGGTCATTGAATGTGTGTGGGTCTCGAAACAATATAGCCTAAATATTGAGTCTTGAGCATTTCACTGATTTTGTAAGAATACGGGTACTAGTATTTTGAATACAAGTATTAGTATTTTGTTACTATGTATACCATTCTAACACCTGTAAGGCGTGCCAGAAAACGTCGTTGTCTGTTTGCAACGTTTTGACGCAACCCGTTACAAAGATTATCGGAAAAATTTACTTCTAACTGCACGGGAAAGTTAAGTTAGCAGTGTATTTGAATATCTATTTGGAAAATATGCAACTAAACTTCTACATGTAGTTCAACCTTTTATTCATAAGTGTATGTAACAGTCTGTAATTTTGCATATTTACAATAAAGTAGTCCCATGTTTGCTCGAGTTCTATTGCTATGAAATATTTAAAAAAAAGTTCTCTTATCAACTGCGTAGCCTGTCAATTGATACGACCAAATTGGCTGTCATCTATATATCAAAATTTATAAGTAAACCCTTATGCCCTTCGGCACGTGCACGTCGTGAAGAGGCACAGGCGTTGGCACTTTGCGACGCATTACAGAAAACCGAAACTTGTATCCTACATACCAGTTGTCGATGATCTGATTGAATTCATGAGGGGTGGTAGCCTACAACAATGTAGGTACAGACAACGAGGAAAGGCATTATAGGGTGAGCCCATGGTTTGAACGTTTGCTGACAACAACAGCTGAACGTTCGCTGTAAAGGGACCTGCTTTCCGGCTCACAATTAATTTCTTTGGCTTATACTAGAACTACATCATTTGTGCTTCAAATTAACACTTAAAGGGCATGACTGGTAACAGTTCTGGGGCCCGTGCACGATGGCGAAAGCTATTTTTGTGCCTTATCGGGGGGGGGGACCATTTAAGATAAACTTCATTCATACATACCTTATTCCAAGTTCATAGTTTCTATGTTACAGAAATGTACATACATGTATTTATTTGTTAATTATTATCAGGTTTTAAGCAGTAATTGTTCATTTACATAATCTGAAAAGACGACGAATTCAGTGCAAATGTACAAATGCCCATCACATTGGTTTGTTCTAAAGCTGCGGTATTCACTTTATCATGGCAGAGCCCTGGACCATCCCGATAAGTTACTGGGATGATCCGGGACAATCCGGAGTGAAATTATTGTTGTGGTCACACTTACCCCGGTAGTTCTACGGTAATTCCCAACTAACCACCCAGGATGCGCTCCGGACCATCCAGGCAGAGCTACGTTCAGAAACATGCCGGTGTTTCCCCGGTCGTTCCTGGAGGGTGCCGACAGAGCCCCAGTTGACCCAGGCAGAGCCCCAGTCGATCCAGGCAGAGCTCCGGCAGAGCCCCGGTAGAACCCTGGCGGATTGAAAACGCGCGAAAATGATTACGTTGATACATTATTCATGATGATTTTCAGTATAATCCTTATGCAAGACTGGACAGAAGGGAAATGGGGGAGGGTTTTAATACAAACAAGTGCAATCATCGCAAATTGTCGTGATTCTTTTGAAATGAACCGATCAACCGTAGTTCCATCGTCATCCTCCGGAGCTCAGCATGCATCCTGCGGCTCTGCCGTCATTCGCCGGAGCTCTGCCGGCATTCTTCGGGGCTCTACCGTAGCTCTGTCGGCTATATCATACCCCGGATCATCCCCAGTTTGCGCCGGCAGAGCTTCGGTGCTTCCCCGGTTTAACCCCGGTCGTTCCCGAAAAGCTAAGGATGAAGCCGGCAAAGTTATACTTCCCGGATCACCCCGGACCATCCCGGTGATATTGAATATTTTAATCCATCTGGGGTCGTACCCCGTCGTTCCCGGATCACGCCGGACGTCTTTTGGGACTCTGCCGGGATGTAAGTGAAACTGCAGCTTAATATATGTTAATCTTGTTATCGGTGTTATTATAATATCCATTATAATATTTTTTAAAGAAAATCACCACCACTTCCGCATGTTACTTATTGCATTTATAAACAAATACCAAAATTGCTATTTTCTAAAGTGCGCTTTTTGGCAGTTTGTCACGTAGCGTACCGCTGTCACGTGTCAATGTGACGTAAGCAGAGTCTCGCGCCAGTCATAATAAATTGTAACCGCCATTTTCATGTGCAGCAATTCTATTCATTAAGTGCCAAGATTAACATGTTAAGATTTTTATTGCTCATTAAAGACGCTTAAACTGTCATGTTTATATAAACTCCTCAAACCAATTCATATTCAGATTAAATAAACTTCACTAGTTTATATATCTATTGTAAATTAATTATGTTAAATGGATTTAACAAAACTGCTGTACGCGTTATAAGACAATATTTTCACTACTGATTTACAAACTTCGACGCGATGTTTTGACTGATTCTAAATATTATTCAAACGATTTGATAATAACAAATGTTACTTAAAGTGACAAGATCAACAAAATTTAAATCTGGGGAAATCGGTTTACCGCATTATGGCTTTTTTATGGTTTCGCAAATAAAAACTCTAGATAAAAACACTTCGCAATATGGGAACATGTTAATATTACTACCATCTATCACCGTAAATCATGTTATGTTTATGTATCCATGCTTGGAAAGAAGGAAGAAATTTCATTTTTTAAAAATACCAAAACAGAATAAAGATTACTCAGCTAAAATAAAATAACGTAAATGTCCATTATAATAAGTGTCCATTATATTAAGCATTTACCAAATTAAATCTGCGGCGCAGAGGCAAAGTGAATGGTTTAAGTTTCATTTTAAATACTGCAATCCTATTGGACAAAATATAATTTCACACTATTGAATGATATTTCAGTGTCTTTGTTAATAATTCATAAGTTTAAAATTTAAAATCTCATTATTGGCAAATAATAAATTATTAAATTATAAATGCAAAATACATTGAAAGTTGAGTTGAGAAATAATTTATATGGAAGTAAACTGGGTTACTATATTACCTATTTTCTTATATGTTAGGTAAAATTGATTGTATCTTATATACCTCAAAATGGTTACCATCACGGAAGAAAAGAAAAGTTTTTCCATCTATCTATGTGCATTTAATAAGGATCAATCCGGTCGGCTTCAGATGAAATAGTATTTCCTGACAGGCATTCTCCTGTTCATGTGATTGACCATTACATCATAGTCTCGGAGGTGCACACACACGAATTGATAAAATTTTGACTCTTGAAATAATATAATAAACATTGTCTCAAGATTTAGTTAAATTACCTATTTTGCATTTTCTTATTTGCACATCTACATCAAATCTAACTCATGACTTATTGTAGTGTACTAAAAAGTCCAATAACTGCTGATTTAAGTTACTTCGGCAAATAATCTATACAATATTTGTGTAGATTTTTTTTATTTTATCTTTTATTTGCCGATTTTAGGTGAAAAGTCATGCTTGTATAAATGATCTTTAATTAAATTGGTAAAAAACTGTTTAAAAACATGACTATATACATGTACTCGTAATACTCGTATTAAGTTAATCCTAATTTTCCTAATATATATGATGTGGGAATAAAATGCAATTTTCAAAAATGGACCAATATACATGCAGAGAGAATTGTATGTCATTTTGTTACAATTTGTCTTAATAATAAATATAGTCATGAAAAACGTTAATTTGAATTTGCAGTAGCTCTTGGTCTTCTTCAGCAGCAATTATAATTATACACACAAATATGACAAAACAAAGTGGCATAACGTCATTGAATATAGCATATAAGATATTTTTCTATAAATCCAGGAGTTATTTTCATCGAGTGTTATGAAAATAAAAATTTCATGAGTGGCGGTAGCGACGAGTGATATATAATAATTTTCATTCCACAAAATGAAATTAAATCCTGTATTTATGGGAAAAAATTGAATTTTTTGTTTATTTTATACATTTTTGTCTTTTTTACATTACAATTTAAAAGATTTTCCCTCAAATTGTGTGTACTGGCAGAATTTAAAAGAAAGTAGTCCGGCAAGACAACAATGAAAATATGGAAAATATTTTTCACTGCATTGGAAAATAAATATTTACAGTGAAAATACGTAAAGAATGAAAATTCGCATTTTATTTCATCAATAGTTCTCAATATTTAATTTATAAGTATATAATAAATGTATATAGTAAATACTGGTAAGTTAAATATAAAGTTATCTAATGTGGTATAATTCTTCCTAACATATAAGGTATACTAAATGTATGTACAGGTACATGTAATGAAGGTTTAAAGTTAATTGTACCTAATCGCATTTATTCAATTAAGTTGGAAGGGTTTGACCTTCTGTTGATAGACGGGACTTTGTCCGCACTGTAAAATTAATGAGAGGTTTTTCCCTATTTTGTCCACCTGACCATTTCAGAAAGAGAGATTTTAATTTTTCAGAACAGGTTTTGTAGATCTCCCAATTTTCTTAAATTGAAAACATACACATAATGTCAAATTTATACATTTTATTAGAATAAAAAAACATAACCATAAATAGTATATTAATATGAAGAATAAGAAACATGTCGTTTAAAAAAATTAATAAATAGCACATAATTATGATAAAATATGATAAATTTTCCCGGATCCAAACTTAAAATATAATACACAAAACCGACAAGACTCTTACATATACAGACTATAGCTGAGCATAGTTCATTTATTGACAGACTGAACACTGAGACATTTCAAAATATTCTTAGTAACGTCTGGGTGTGATATAGAATATATATTCACTGCTAAGAAATTTTATGATTGTTGCGAAACAGTAAGCTTTCATAGAAAACATCGCAAAGTGACTCATATTTTCCTCATATGTCAAAAACATTATTTAAATAAATCTAAACACGTGTTGAATTAAATCAACTAGATTCGTTGGTTAGTTTTTATATAATCAAGGTCAAACACGTTGATCAGAAAATGAAAGGAAAGATAGAGTGGAAGGAGATAATATGATATAGCTAATATAAATACATGTATATTCCTTCATTAAATTATGACATTATCTGTAGCGGGATTAAGAAGTTTTCCTCCAAAGACTTATCCGAAAATATACTAAATATTCAGTGTTATAAATTTCTATTTTTGTATTGTCAATCATAAAAAGGCAGAAAGTGCAGAAAGAAAGTGCAGTGATAAAAATTCTAGATGTGTAGTGCAAAACTGTTACAGATTTCACGATTCGAGTGCAAAAATATGACCATGGAATGGTTAAAGAGGAAGAAAAAAAATATTTGTCTTATTAATAATATGCTAATAACAATTTCCATACTTCTGAACTGTTGATTATTTTCAAACCGCCTTTGGTCTCTTGCCTGCTGTGACCAATGAATTCTACACTAACGATTACGCAATGTTAAAGGTTTAACCCGAATTATGATTTCCGGTAATTGTTCACGAAACCAGCACTTGTCTGTGCGCATGTGCATGCGCATGACTGTAGTCGGAGTTGATCATTGAATCACGTGACACAGTCTGAACCGGAAATAAATCTGAAGTTGTTTTTTCTTCACCATGTTGAGTCTCAAGGTGACGTCTTAGGTCGACTTTACGCTGGAACGCCCGGCCACATGTTTTACAGGTAAAAGGTTTAAATCCGGAATGTTTTCGGCAATGTGTAATGAGGTTGGAACTTTGACTAAATGCCTTACCGCAATGGCTGCATTTGTATGGCTTTTCACCTGAAAGTACAGCAATTGGATATTGACTCAGGGGTCATATAATGAGTTATCATAAAATACAGATTTTTCTATATCAGAGGAATTTGAAATGCAGCGAAATTAAAATGATCTGTATATAAACCCTTCAATTCAGCCAACCAGTTTCAACGAGGTAGTAAAAAAAGATTTTTTCTTTAAGTTTTCCTTAAATAAATGTTCCTAAAACGCTTTCACTGATCATTGACATTAAATCTAATTTCCAATAAAAGAGATAACGCAGATGGAATATCAAGAAATGACCCGCAAACCCTTCACTGTCAGGAACAGCAAAATTTGACAAATGAATAACAGTCTATCGAAATTTGTACAAATCACAATGATTTCTCCTTTCTGGTTTATATCAAACATCTCAACTAATAGAAATCAGTGTTAGGAATCCAGGGGTCTTTTAACTATTAACACAAATATGAAGGAAGTTTACAGTGTTAAGGGATTTTCTATCATTACTAATTCCGTCTAAATCAAATATCAGACGCGACATAAATTTGTTCTGGGAATGATCCGTCGTGTATTGCTATCAATAAGCATAAGAAATTCAATTTGTCCATCGCAGTCCCCAACGATAATCGCGCTGATGTTACATTCACCATTGTCAAATAAAATGGCACTCCCGATTTCTCCCAAAAGACCATGACAAATAATTACAAACCTTAAAAGCCTAATTGTGTTACATGTTGACTCGCGCAAACTTCACTTTGGTTTTATAAACAACCCCAAAGCGCCACGATTTCATTACGCTAACCGGAGACAAACCCGTTGGATTTATGTAAATTTGCACAGTTTAGAGTAATTTCTATTCCGTTCAGATTGCCGAATGGGCTGATATAGATTCATGAGAGAACAGGGGTGAGAAAACAATTTACTTTTCGTTCAATCAAAATGATTGAATTTCTTCAAATCTGAGTCCTCCGTGTATTGTCTATGGGGTTGTGTTTGATTTTTGGCGGGTTTCCTGAATTGTTAACGACAGTTGTACCTAATATGTCAACAAAATGTTTCCTAGATTTGCTTTATAGAAACAAGAAAAGTGAAAAAGGCCGAATAAGTATGCGTGTAACTTTGATCGGTATATTGATGAACTAAACACTACAATAGTGCTACATTATGTCGAACAGTCTAGGTACATTTGCGAGAGGTAACATCTATGTTGCGTTATCATTTGTTCATTTTTATATATCTTAATATTTTGTTATGAACAATTTTATTCGGTAAACATTTAACTATAACTGCAAAACAGTAGCAGACCAGACATCTTTGATAAAAGTTTACTTTTCGTTCTTTCAAATATCCTACATGATTGTTACTGAAAAGGATTTGATTTTAATAGCTTTAAAGAAATTGCCAGATTTAAATGTCAAATAATATTTCGTTCTCATAAATTTTATGTTTAAGAACGAAGATTGGATTGTGTTCACTACTCCAGAAGGGTTCATCTCGCTTATACAGCTTCTCCAAGATTTTTAATTCCCTAAACGGAAAACTAATCGAAAGTTAGTTATACCCCTTCACTGCAATCTTTAAATTCCTGCATTTCTGCACATTTAAACTACCATAAAGCGTCTAAATCAGATTTCACTGATTAATTACCACCGGTAACTGTATTAGAAGGAAGTGACGTATTCCGTTTTATTTACACCTACCACGTGCGCTAATTTGACTGAAAATGGAATTAAAACGCGCACCTTGGCATAAGGATGCGAACTTTTCACAATTAGGCGCTATAACTTGGGAAGAAGATTGACTATTAGTGCAAACCGTTTATTAATGAATCCGTAATTGAGTTAGAAAACAGCCCCGAGTTTTGGAGATTGCCAACCTTTAAATCACAGAGTCACGGTTATATTTTCCTCTCTTCAGGAGCGACACCGGTGACATTTTTGTGGCTTTCAGAATAATTTGAAAGGACATATTTCTAGGACAGTTTCAGTGATGGCGTTACAAGTCATTTTAATGCCGTTTTTGGCCGTTCTTTTCCCCTTAATTTACGACGATAATTCTGTCCGGATAGCAGGTAACTTTTGTTGTGTCTGGCATCGCAACATTTAGGACATTTAATGGGTGGAATCAGAAGTTTTGTAGCATTGAAAGCGGCATTCGTTTCAAGATAACTGTAGTTGCATGCAAGATAATATTTCACTCATCATTTATATACCCCCATACACTTTTAAATCATTCCATAGAATCGGAAAAATAGGCCGCTAACTTGGTAATTAAAGAAAGATTTTAATTGCTAGTGCAAAGGGCAAGTTCCTTGCTAATATACAGGAACAATGCATTCATTGCTCACTATCTTCACTGAAATACCTAAAGAATTTTGAAATTATCCACAAAGAAAAAACTGATTGGCTACTCTTTAAGTAATTATAAACAGACATACCAGTATGTATATATGTATGCTTCTTCATGTCTGACTTCTGATGGAAACGTTTACCGCAGTAGGGACACGGGTATGGTCTTGTGTCACTGTGTATCAGGAGATGGGTTGATAATGTTGAGGAACGCTTGAACGATTTACCACATTGTTGACACTGTTATATATGAAAAAAGAATAAATGTACCGTTACTATTCTAATAATATATCGACATAATCATAGATTTTACAATGCCTGCTAATTCAAAGAAAATGAAATCACCATTTTAACTTGCTTCAAATATTGATATGATTAAAAGAACATTATTAACATAATTAAAGTTTGGTCAAATCATAAAGGAAAACACTGAAACATATATATTTGTATCATTGTTTGCTAAGAAAATTATGAACGTAATTTAAAAGAATCATGAATGAAGAAGTTGATGAATTTTTTTTATTAAAGTACCTGAAAACTTTTTTCTTGTGTATGAACTGCTCGGTGCTGTGTCAAGCTAACAGAGTGACCAAATGTTTTGTTACAAACGTCACACGCATACGGGCGCCTACCGCTGTGTGACCGCCGCACGTGCACTTCTAACCCGTGCGGTGTGCTAAATTGTTTCATGCATTTTACACATTCGTAGGTACCCTTCTCATAGGATCCGAATTCAGACATAGGGTGGGGTATTTGAGCCTCTACAACCGGACTGTCATAGTTCATGTTAAATCCAGCTTGATTCATTCCCATATTTAAATTAAAATTAGCCAGTCCTTTAGCACAGAGGTATGGGTACATTCGTGGGTCCGTCCAAAAGTTTGGCACGTTTGATCTAGCCATTGCAAATATGTTAAAGGGATTTCTGTAGATTCCTTGTAGTAAATTATAGCGGTAAATTTCAGCCAGACACAGCTTCGGATCTTGCAGGCCATTTCTTGTTTTACTCACGTGCTCATCATCTAAAAGCAGAAAGTATATTTCAGTGAAAAAAAAATCAAATGAAAAAAATGAATTTTTACTTATGTCGTACGTACTCCATTATTAAGACATATAAACATTGAAATATGATTTTGATGATCTTTTTTAATAATTATAATCTTTAAACTGAAATGGCAATTTTTCATGATAAAATAGAGGATATTTGTTTGTTTTGCATGTAAGATTGAAATATAATTTCACTGAGTGAACACCAGATGCAATATTTTCACGAGTGGCGTAGCCACGAGTGAAAATATAATAGCTGGTGTTCACGAATGAAATATATTTCAATCTTATATGTAAAACAAATAAATTTTCTTTTTATTTTATGCTTTTTAAGTGATTTTAAGCTATTTTTTTATTGATTTTGCCGCGTAACGTCGCGCATTCTCCTTTGTGACGTCATTATATCATGACGTCACATCATCAGTTTTGAAATCTAGTTCCGTTAAATTTCTCTAATTTTGTTAAATGTCTAACATGATGTATGATGACATTGACTTTCTTTTCCTAAAGAAGCAAAATTTACGTATGACGGCATTTATTTCTGCCTGTTATTCCATTTAGTTATGATTTTCTGTTCATCCGCATTCAGATATAGTCCGGCTACAGTGAAAATTATATTTTATAAATTTCACTAGTGGTTTATCAGAATATAATCATCTGATATATTACAATAAAACACTGGAAAGCATGAAATAAGTATTATTAACTATTTACTTATTTTAGCAAACCAAAAACAAAACGGGATAAGATAAGCATTGTTTAAGCTTGTTGTTATAATATAGACAATGAAACAATTAATGCTCAAAAGTGAGAAAAAAAATCTAAAACTAGCCAGAAGCCACTGCTTGCTATTCCAGCTTTTCAAAATGCCAATAAACTTTGAACTTGCTGTTTGAACTACATTTCATTAATCTTTGGTAAACTTAATAATTTTTCCATTCTCTGTATAGTTTAATATCCTTAGAGAAACATTTAAGTCAGTAAAGAATATATCTACAATAATATATAGTAAGTTTTACATATAACTCCGATAGAGAAATGATAAATAGAATTAAGGAGTCCACGTCTTTTATTATGACATAATTCAAAATGCAATAAGCTTATAACTTTGTCTTTATTAAATTCCACATTGTTATAACCTGACAACAATATTTCCTAAAAGTTAAAAAAATGATATGAAAGGAACACAACTGAGCTTTTTTTGACATGAAGGGACTAGAAATATTTTTTCGGGATTTATTTGATGAAGGTTTAGGCTAATAATTTGTGTGCAAAATTTGAGACTATTCCCTCAATCAATTTTACCAGAATAATCATTTTAAGTGTGCAAAATGATTCAAAAATGAAATGCGTTGCACTCAAACCGGGATAAGAATTGTACCAAACATTTTATGTTTTTAGGTATTTTGACCTCCGTTGAGTTCCGTAAACAGTTTAACATTTATTCAAAATAAATTAAATTTACCAAAATTGAAACAAAACGATTCTAACCCCAAAAAGATCCGCAGCCAGTAAATCAAGTTGTTAGGAATTTTAGTTAAGATGCTATAAATTATATACATGTATAATAACATGCAATAAATTGAAGGCATAGTCATGCTTTATTTAAACGCACCTGTTTCTTTGTGATTTTACATAATTCAAAAGAATAAACTTCTAAATAACACCTTTTTTGGCTTTGCAGTTTTATATACAGAAAATTGAAGTGAAATTCTGTTATATCAAAGTCCGTTATATGACCGTTGAAAAAATAGCATTTATAGATAGAAGTTTCATACATACCTGAATTTTTATTTTCATTCATATCTTCATTTTCTTCAGTATCTTTGTTCTCCACGTCATCTTTAACACTCAGCCACGGCCGGAATGGTCGTATTTTCCCAGCTTCCCTATTGTGGGAAACTTCATTGTCTACATCCGGTACCGGGGATGAAGATGACCTTGAACTTACGGGGCTGGCATGCGCGGCGAGCGTGTTTCGCGGCGTTATTGGTGACGTCAATATAGGCGACGTTGACGGTGGTACACGGTGTGGTATTGTCAGGTTCATTGCGGTCTCGTACTCTGTAAACAAGAAAAGTATGCTGTTCAAGAGAAATAAAAATTATTTATTTTTAAATATTTTTTTTCACAACTTGTTTTGATACATAGTTCAACCGGGAATCTTTCCTGAACGGGAAAGTTAGAAACTTACATGCATTCTCAGCATATTTATATTTCCTTAGATAGAAAGAACTTCAATTGTAAATGCTGTATGGACACGGGGCAATGAATTAATAAATGTTTTTATACTGAAATAAATAATAATAAAACATGATGACTTTGAAATAATAAGTAGACGTGCAAGTAATGTAAAAATGTAGTTTGCATATATTCAATTTTTATAATAGTGTTTAAGCATGTTTTTGCTTTATGTAAAAAATTTAATTGTTTTATATTATGTTTAATTAAAATTGAACCTACAAATATATACAATATTATTTCATATTTAAGGTACTTTTTTAATTTTAGATATGAACCAGCATGACTCCTATTCTATACAAACGTGTATGATTATACTCAAATAGTCAAAATACATGAAATATATAATATCATTGTCAATTGAAATATTAATGTTGCATAAATATTGCCTAGATAAGAAACGGTAATACAATTATCCCAGATGTAGAAACAACAATACCAGTAATTTACCCGGTCATATGGAATAAAACACTCCGAATCAAGTTTTATATCTAATATTGAATGCTATCCACACATAGTCAAATCTAACTTCTAAAGCATTTTAAATCTGTTTCTTGTAACGTTACATGGTATGGTGACTATCGTTTCCTTGAGTTATTTTGTCAAATATACAATTATCATCATTTTCCCACATCAAAACTATGTAAACTAGTATATTTCATATAGATCGAGTAGTCGAGTTAATAGACCTACCCTAAAATGAATAAATAAAAAGGAGTAAAAGTTAATAGACCTAACCTTAAGTGAATAAATAAGAAGATGAAAAAAGAATGACAGTTTTTTCTTATCTTGTATTCTTCATATTTTTTACATCATGTCGCTATACTGGTTTATACCCCATTCACAAACATGTTGCAGCCACATAATATATTTGTATCTTAACTTAAAATACCTGCCTATAGGTGACTTAATTGATGTATGTTATTGAAAATAACTTTGCCGCTGATATTCATTTAGTAATATATGTACCTCATCTTGAGACAGTATATTACTGTTAATAAAACATATTAAAAAACAAAATTGTACATAGTGGCACCACGGAATTGTAATATAAATCTGTGGTGGCACACAATAACAAATTATTATTTTTGAATATGTTATGATGAAATTCCAAAAAGAGCAATAAAAATCACATTGGACAGAAAGGTATGTATCTTTCAATATGGTCCTATACTTATGATGAGAAATTCAATCCATAATTGATATTAATTAATTCTATATAATTGAATAAAGGTATAATTGTATCCTGTCAAGTAGCTAACAATCTGTGATATATAAGCTAATACAGTAATGTTTATGTCGTTACATAATAGTTAATTTGTTTAAATTACTAAAAACAATATTTATAAATCTGTTTAATTCTAGATAATCTTACCTTTGATTTTTGGTGAAACCACCGAAAAAGCACTATTATGGTCTAATGCCGACTCTAACTCCATATTTATTTGACAGTTTTTTACCAAAAATGATTTTGGCATAGCATATAAAATCAACCAATTGTCCCAATTTTTTCCTTTATAGTATTTATTAATATATTTGTAATCTATAGTAAAGAAAAATTATCCTATTATTTTATTAACACTATTTTCGTCGCACAATCTTAATATTTTTGACTGCAAATATTCAGTAGTCAAAGACACATCACGGGTCTGTAAGTATAAGTACAATAAAAGAATTATTCTTGAATTTAAATAAAAATCACGCTTAACAAACGCGATGCCACTATAGCGCATGCGTATAAGGAAGAAAAATCCACAAGTGGCATGTGCCGAGATTAGCAATCTTTACAAGGATAGTTTACTATTGGACGATGACGGTGTTTCTGATTAGACTAAGCTCCGCCCACTCGCGGGTTATCGATACTTGAGCAATAGTTTAAAGACGGCAAAACAGCTTTTGATAAAAGAAACTTAAAACTCGTCTGTGTTGCATTAATTTGTTGTTTTTGCTTTTATAATCAGGATATCTAAGATTGTGCACGAGAATTGAAAAATAATTGATATCGAGTTTTCTACATTTCAAATAAAATAAATAAATAAATAAATTAAATTAAATTAACGTTCAGAGTTAGGAAGCTACAATGCTGCCTTACGGTTGAGTCGGGCTAATTTATTCAGGTGTCTGTTTGTACCCGTCAAACATGCATTGATATGAACGTTAGTCTTCCTGTACTAAAACTTGAGAGAATCTGTTAAAACAGAATTACTGTACAAATTGAACTTTTACGCAACTTTTCAATCAGATGAAGTCAGTGATTTAGAAAATATAAGAACTTATGCCCTATTTGTAGAGAAATCAATTTCAATTACAGAGATATTTAAAGCTAGTTTGCAGTGCTCATCTTGTTACCGTGCAGTAAAAAGCTTTGAAACAATTTAAATTCAAATCAGTTAAAAACCAGAACCATCTGTTCGTAAGAGATTTAAACACTGCAATATCCCCCAATTTCTGTTTAATTAATCTCGGGCCGTCAAAAACCCGATAATCTGTTGAAAATTATTTGAAAGAATCGTCAACAAAGTTGATTTAATCATTTGCCGTAATTTCAGTCAAGTTCACCTCTATTTCACTAATCAGATCAATTAGTTTAATTAAATCACTAGAGTCAATCACTCTTTACACTCGAACACGCTCCAGATGTACCCATAATGCACCGGGGTTAAGTTTGATTACAAAATCGCCATTGGCTGCTAAATTCCCAAGAGGTCGAATCAGTTGTTCTGATATGAACCAGGTACTAGCGTGAATAATGGCTTGTCTCTTTTTTTCTGTGTTTTCCAACATTTTTGTATTCATTGTCGCCGCTTTATTCTATCTGGGTGCATTGATTTAAAGTGTCTCTAACTGCTATAAAGACTGTTCTCTGGGATAAGCCGGAAAAGTCACGTGAATACCTCATAGCATTGTCGCTGACAATTCACAATATATACTGTTTAAAAGAAAATCGGACATGTCGCATATTTTAAAGACAGAAGTTATTGCAAAAAGTTAGAAAACTATACATATATATTACCAACTATAATTAACTACGGCACGTTATTTCACTGTGATATTGTCCTTAAATGACTCCTACTCGTAGTCATATTTTAAATTTAAAGTTCATGACACCAAGAGATTTTTACAGTGCAAAATTTAGAATATTAAGGAAAGTTGTCTTATCTCAACTTTGATTTTAGGAACAACATGAACAGTTTCTACAAATTTGGAAAATGTACTAAAACGGGACAGGTGGTGTCCATATACAGAAAAAGATGTGATTGCTTACAAGAAAAATGTCTATATATGTGTACGGTTCACGGCGAACTAGAGCCACTGAAATAGAAAGTCATCATGTGTACAGCTGAACAATTTGTCTTGGAACGGTTTTTGAATAAATTTTGTTTTCCAAGCCCAGACCAAACAAAGTTTGATAAAAAATGTCTGATTTAATTATTCGGATTGAACATGGCCAGAAACAAAGTCGGTGTCCCCGGGGATCATAACTCTGTATTAAAGCCGACCTAGGAGGAACCTTTATTATAATACTGTAGATATTACTATTCCACAAAGGCACGAGTATTAGATCTGGTTAATATAACACAAGTCTCCTATCTACCAATGCCGTTCTTTCTTTTTTTACAGGCAACAATCTTCATGCAAATTTAATATTTTTGGAAAGAACCTCGGGCGCAACATAAAACAATATGTATTTATAAATTCTTGATGAATATAAAATAAATAACTTTTGACACGATATACAGATCCGAAAGAAATATTTTTGACTAGCTATAAAAATTAGCAGATGAGGTCTAAGCCAAGCATTACCGCATATCTAGACGTTGTCGCTGGAGAGATGGGCGGTGTGTCATAGAAACTTCCCATGCTAAACTAGAACAAAGATTTTCAGCATTTTCACTTTGCCCTACCTGATCTTGAATAGTAATTACTTACTAAGACATCGCTAAAACATTTTTTCGTTATTTGAAATTAGTTTAGTAAAACAATTATTTCCAGGATACTGTACAAGTTCTATCTCATATTTCCCTTTTTTGTCATCATCATCATCATCATCATTATAGCAAATAACTGCCTAACATGAATGAATCAAACTTACGAACACAGGGTCCCTAAAATAAGAAAACCGGACGAGCTCATTAAAGGTGACTGAGCTTTTAGTTTACACTTTTGAATTTAAAAGCAGATGCGACGGGATGTACAGGCCGCCTTGTGCAGTTAAAATTATATTGTTAAAATTGCCGCGATAATTTACATTTATCTCTCTCCTTTTCTCCTTTTCCATCGTGTAAATAATTTTACGATTAGGTATCACATTTTTCTGAATTTCTACACTTTTCATAATTCATTATTTCAATAATCTGTTATTTTTATTTTATTGAGAGATTGAGGTTGGGGGTACAAGACCATAGTGTGTTTAATATGTGTTTAATTGTGTTACCTTAATACAACGTTATGGGACGGGCGCGTTACAAAAACAGACATTTTGGCAACATTTCGGATGTTTCACCATATTAAGACTATCATGTTAATGAGCTTACTGTAGAGTTCAGTGACTTTATGTTCTTACAGAATATACACATATATAATGACATGATCTGCGGAATCTGGGGAATTATCTCCAGGAATGAGAAGAATATATAAACGTGTCCTCATATAGTCCCTCCCTGTACTTCTCGAGCGTTTGTAACTGTATATAGTGATTTAATTAGTGACATTTTAAGCTGTAACCCTTAACATAATTAAGTGATAAAATTGATATAAAAATGGTGAAATTGATGATGATGATTTTAGCTGTTTTACTAGTTATGATTTACATGTTAATTTTCCATGATTGTGTAACTAATTATTTTGTTGATAATAAAAATGATATTTTATTTTTCATTACATAATAATTATCATGTATAATTTGTATACATGACAAATGGAATCAGCTGCTTATTATAAAAGAATTCCACCTGGAATTAGCTGAGATAATCTTTAAGAATATCAAATCAATTTTCTAAATTAAGATGGTCCTGGCGATATATTTGTGAGTGTCACTCGTGTTTAATTCATTAATTGTAATAAAATGAATAAACGAAGTAAAGATTTTGCATTGATTAGTTTTGTTTTTGTTTTAAGGGAGTAATAATTGACCATTAAAAGAGTTCCAGACACTTGTGAAATTATTCACAGTGTTGTCAAGGTGTAAAATTGTCATTCAAACTTTTTTTATTTATCCTTAGAGAAAAAGATACAGTTACTGGGACAACCACCTTCATCACGGATTCCTAAAAAAAATGGGCCAAACACCGCCTATATAATGTCCTAATTTTATTCTCGGAGTAATTTATGAACTTAATTCATTTCGTTAGTGTGAGAGAATGATGTATACTACGGTCGGTGTAATAAAACAAATTTGAAATCGAAACAGCTCATAAAATGGCGGCAGAGATCGTGATTACTAATTATGGTTATAGACATAAATGGCTGTTAATAGCGGCATACATCACTAGGTTGGAAACAAGTGCTCACGTAACTACCAGAAGCTCAACTCTTCAGACATTAAAGGAAACAATTGTTATTGCGGTCACGTGATAGCACTTGAAATCCCGCGAGAGCATGACATCTGGCGCGTGCCCCTTTACCGTTACAGACGATACCGAAGTGGACAGCGGAGATAAATTATTTGACAATTTTGATAAAAATGATATTGTCAACGATTGTTACAAAGTTTTTCGTGTGGCTTTATGTAGATTAGGAGTAATACGTTTAACATGAAAGATTCATTTATCAGAGTTTATTGTCTCTTTATATGAAGATTGTATATCTCTTTACAAGATTTGAGAAATTTTGCTATCTCAACAGGCTGTGATCATAAAAATAGGATCGCAGGTGACTTTAAATAAACGTCATTGAAAAAGTGATAAACAATACAATTTGAATTTTTCCTTTTGTTTTGTAAGTGTCAAAAGCTCACGAAAATGCAGATAGTTTTGGTGAAAATAATGCGATTTAGATTTGTTATCTTGAGGCAGTCATGCGTCGGAAACATAGTTCTAATCGAGACTGTATCAGTGTTACCTTCAAATTGTACTTAATATGACATTATAATATCTTGAATAATTCTTTTGTTTAAGATTAGATATCAAAACAAACAAAATTAATATTGCACTTGTTTGTATCTCTGAATTAAAGTATTTAAAAAAAAGAAGAAATGAGACAGATAAAGAAGAAAACTACAGCTTTCTGACTTCTAAGCATTATATCAAATTGTTTTCCTAGTAAATATATTTAATATACTTTATTAGATGCTATAAAAATGAAACACAATGAAACACGATGAAAAAATAAAAACAACATAAATGAAAAAAACAACAACAAAAAAACATAAAAAACAACAACAATGACAACATAAACTTTATATCATTTAAAGCTGCACGCCTCCAGATGAGCCGAAATATTTCAAGAAATTCAATCTTTAGAAAAATGTATTAAGACCTTAAGGAAAGTAAAAAAGATTCAATATCTAATTAATTATTTACATGTTATGTGCGATTAATGACTGATTTTGCAGTATCAATCACTTAAATTCTACTGCGTTACTAACGCAATAGGAGGTATTTATGTATATTTTGACCTCATTTTGGTAATTAACGTGGAATGTAAGTGCCGTTTGCAATGAATAAATTACTTTCTTTGTGCACTTCATAGTATTTTACTTTTAAATACATTTTTATAATTTTCATGAAAATTAGCATGAATCTGGAGGCATGC